GCTCGGTTGTGTATTGTGGGTCCAGTGACGGAATGGTCAATTTTTGGGAACGTGAAAAGCAGTTATCTCACGGGGGGTTCCTCAAGGGGCACAAGATGGCGGTTCTCTGCCTGCAGTCGCGAGGCAATCTTGTGTTCAGTGGCTGAGCGGATAAGACTATATGCGTGTGGAAAAGGGACGGGTCAATCCACACCTGTCTATCGGTGCTGACGGGGCATACCGAACCGTTGAAGACCTTGGCGGTGACGGAGGAGCAGGAATCCAGGCGGGATACACGGTGGATTCTGTACAGTGGGAGTCTTGATAAGTCCGTTAAGGTGTGGAGCGTGTCGAAGTACGCACCGGAGTTTCAGATGGGTATGATGCAGAATTAGCAGCTGGCCGGTTCTTATGGGGACTCGCTGCCGTCCGGTGGGCGGAGCAGGTGCAGGAGGTTCTGATCACAATTCAATTTTGTGTTTGATGTCACGTTTTTATTAACAATCGTAATGTGGTTACACGTGGAAGCTGGATGCATGTTAACTTATTCATGCTGTTGAGGTAGCTTTCGTGGTTCTATTAAGGATGATCAATGAAACCTCCTTTTTTTTTTTTTTTGATATAATGAGTCTAATAATGCGGATTTCCGCTGCATATTTGAAGAACGAAGGCAAACGAAATAAAAATTTTTAAATATGTAAATTATCAATTTACAATTTTCTCATCCCTTCAAAAAATTTTTACCATTTTTTATTTTACATTATAAAAAAATATTATGCAATTCAAATTATTTCGGACAATATAATTTTAACTCTAGTATTAAAAACTCCTTTCTGCATTCAATAATTTATATCTTACAATTAACATTAGGTCTTTTAAACAAATTTTAAATCAAAAAACTACCATGTGGTCTAAGAAACTTCGGAAACCATCCGAACTGATAGTATAATTTACATGGCCGCAGTTTATTAATGAGTAAGAACAGCAATACATATAACTATGACTGCAATCAGAAGAATTACGTCATAAGTAAAAAGAATTACGTAATTGTTGCATATCTTTTGATTATTGCTTGTGAATAAATGGACTTACCTTTTCGAGCTTGAAATAATACATTTCCCAGAGATCCATCCTTTTATGAGGATTAGTTCAGTGTGAAAGCTTACGAGAGTGTCTTCTACCGGCTTCAGGCAGCATTCGTGAGCTTAATCCGGCTAAACGAGCGCTTCTATTTCCGACTGGGTTCAGGTCCAAACCCAGAGGAGGGGCCGTATCTGCCCCTTCAAGTATTCTAAGAACCTGGCAATTCACCAAAGTGGGGAGGCACTTATTAAGTTCAAGAAGTGGCTTGGAGGAAAGATGTAAAATTAACTGTTAAACAAAGCGGTGAAGGTAGCAGACCTTTGACATTGGGGGTCTGGAATCTGGATCTTGACTCAGGCACGAGGCAGCAGCGCGGCACATAGCTTCTAGTTGATGAGAATTGTCAAGGACTTTGCTGGGGGCCAGGATCGGATCGAGAAACTGATAAATATTAGTGAATAGATGGCTTGGTTCTAATACAGCCATGGGGCGGAACCAGTTGGAGAAGAAATTCTGTCCCTTGTATAATTGCATCTCACTTGCTCTTTGACCTGTCATTAGTTCTATCATTACTACTCCAAATGCATATACATCGACTTTGGGTGTAATTATCCCACCATCTAGGTATTCTGGTGCAAGATACCTGTATTAAGGCATGGAGGCAAACAATATGGTGGAAACATTACTAGCTCACAGATGGTTTTCCAATAAGAACAGCAAGTATCATAGAGGCAATCAGTATTATTGGGAGAATACCCTGAAGTTCCAATTAGTCGCTCCTTGCTATCAATACTCCATTCAGAATGCCACCTAGCGAGTCCAAAATCAGTAACCTGTGTAAAGGTTGGAGGATGGAGCAATCAGGGCATAATGCATAAATGTCAGAAAAAATATACTGAGGTTGATCAAGGGTGAAGAAGATATCCAGATATAAACTCTCCTACACAGAAATCATTTTTTTTCCTTCAATATTGCTTGCTAGGATAGTAATTACAGCAACTAAGTGTAAAGATTGCAGAATCATGAATCATAGAGAGTCTGTTGCACATTTGAATGAGAAGAATTCAGCCTCATGTATCAGCATAAATGGCAGAAATGTTGATGCTTCTGAAAAAGTGAAGTAAAGAGAAAAAAATAAAAGTACCAAGGGTTCAAAATCATGTGTTAGTAGGATATTGTTAGGCCGCATATCCCTGTGTACTATACAACCCACTCTACAATCTTCATGGAGATATCGCAAGCCCCGTGCTGCCCCAATTGCTATCCTTAGCCGTGAGTGCCAATCCAGAGGGTTTCCCTTGCTTCCTATTGATGATAAATGATAATTAAAGCCCATAAACAGAAATAAGTTAGGAAACAGGTTGTAAATGCAGGAAGAATAAGGATCCTTGGCATAAATAAAAGAATTGCAGCCCAAGTACCAATAATATGACACTATAACAACAGAAATAGAAGAAAGACTGAGAGAATACCGTGCAAATGGAAATCCAATGAACTATTGCATATGTACTCATAAACCAGGACTCTCTTCTTGTCATCAACACAAAATCCAATAAGCAACACAACATTCCTGTGCTGTGCACAGCTTAAGACTCGCACTTCCCGACGGAAATCAGCATCTGCTTGAGAGCCACAAAACTTTAACAGCTTCACCGCTACCACCTGACCATCTCTCAAAACACCCCTGTAAACAACACCAAAACCACCTTCTGCCAAGAAATTGATATCTGAAAAACCATCTGTAGCTTCTACTAGCTCCTCATAAGAAAATTGCCTTGGAGGTTTTCCAAAAACAGGTGCCTTATGTTGACATAAGGAGCACAGAGGCGGAGGTTTTGAGGAAGTTCTACCTAAAGAAACTGCATCCCTGATCCTTGAGCTAACAATGTAGTCTTTTTGATGGCTTTGATTGGGCTTGAACTTGCTAGTTACTTTCTCTTGATCATACTGGATGAATTTGTCAAGTAGACTATAGGAACCTTTGGTTGTACTTCTGTAGCTTTTGCTACCATGGGGCTTTTCATGAAGAATATGATTTTGGGGAATCCAAAATACATTCTTTTGATTGCTTGGTACAGACCGTTTTTGGTGTGTAGACAGTGTTATAAGTCTTTCACCCTGTGAGTCCAAATAAATTAGCGGGTCATCCAAATTGTTATCCACTTGACTGTAATTTCCCCTGTTCAGCCTTTCAAAAAGAGGATTTTTTTCGTAGACAAGAAAAAGAGGTGTTGATAGATCGGAACTTGATGACAATCCTTCTTGTGTGAATCTTGAATAGGAAGTACCTGACTCTTCTGGACTGCTCACTGGAGTAGAATGCTTCATCCTGTGACCGCTGAACTCTTCATCATCCTCATCTGGTGAAACAGCGGCAGAGAGATATGGCGTTTGAAGTTCATCAGTACATTGTAAGTTAAGCCTAAGGACCTTTGCCTGAGAACCTTTCATCACAACAATGTTGCATTGAAGCTCATCTAAACAATGTCTCAGTTCTTGCTTTAGTTTTCTGATTCAGCAGAAACAACTTATTAGCTGCCTAATACTTCCCCAAACCTCTAGGTCCGCTCACATGGTTACACAACAAATGAACTACAACCCACCAACAAGATTTCCAAGCAAAATGAATACAACGGAAAAAACTAAATTGCCCAGCCTTCCAATAATCCACGTTACATAATTTCTTTGTTTGAACCTAATGATAAAAGAACCCATGTCTACGCCAGTCAAACACTTTAAATCCCTAGACAATATGGACATTACTCTTCAATCATTAACATAAAGGAAAAACCTCCAAAATATCTAAAGGACGTAACATTAACCCATATGAACACTTAATCCCAAGTGCATGTAATGTGGATTATAAGATAAATTAGGCATTAGAAAATCAATCCATTCCAACTAAAATTAATATATAAGACCGCTTTCAAGCAAAAATCAGACATAAGCATGAACATATTAAAATAAGAAACACATTTATCAGAATAAATTAATAGCTTAGAAAAAAAAATACTTTTTAATGTTTAATTACTTGTCCAGTATGACCCAGTTGGCTCCATTTCTTTTTGCTTCAACAGCCACAGCACCCTTAGTTGTAGCCGACAGTACCTTAATCCTCACTCTAACCTGTAATCAACAACTCAATTATTGAAGAAACACATTCCTTAATAAATTATCCGAATAATTTGAAGAATATAATGTTTAATAAAGTAGTTGGCCAAAAAAATAATATAAAGAAGGGCACATCTGCTTTAAAAGCACATGGGATTCAACATCCCATGTCCAAACAGCTATCATAATCATTGGGGAAATTTGTTTGCATCTGACACAGATCTCAAGGCCTGTTTGGGATTCTTGAATGTTCTGAACTCTGTTAACTCCAGGGTCAATCAGTTCCTAGATGAGATGAGGACAAATGTAAACCGTTTGTTTCTAATGTCAAAACCTTTGTTTCAAGCCTTGAGAACTAGCCAAACGGTCCTTTATCCGGATTGCTTATGAAGCCCCTTAAAAAGAAAGTAATTCCATGGTAACTTGATCTCACCTCGATTTGGTTATGAAACTGAAGAACCATCTGAGAACAAGACTCCGAGATCTGACCAATCTGTTCCGGTAACTCGTCCCGGAAACTCCCACTGCAATCTCCGGCCAATTTCGGAAAATTCCAAAATCTTCTACCTTGGAAGAAACGAAAATTCAATAATTCGAAAAGAAGATTGATTTTAGTACACCCAGAAGGAAAAAACGAGACCTTTACTTACCCTTTTTTTCATCGGGAAAGACTGCGAGCAAAGCAATGCAATCGCCGGAACGAACGACGTGGGTGAGAGCCCACGCTAAGGCGGTTCTGGAGATGACTTTCTCTGCTCTTACAGCCACCACCACTTTCTCCGCTGCCTCGGTGCCAGAGACACTGGCTTCCATTTTCGCGGGAAATTTTGAGTCGCCAAGCTCCGCACACGGTACAGGGGAAAACGAAAAAGGGGAGAAAGTGGAGTGCTTTAGGCGATGTGATCGACTGGTCGTCCTTAAGAGGCCATCGGTGAAAGGGCAATATTGGAATTGAAGCCGTGGTTAGTTGACTCCACGACACGGAACCTTAGCCTCCAATTTACAAAGTTGGAAGGAAGTGCTTGGTTTTATTTGGGTTGTACTAGTTTAGACACAAAATTTAACTTTTGTCCGAAGTAGAAACAGAGGAAGGAAAAAGGGAAAAAAAAAATTACAGGGAATGTCTGCCTGGATTCGCAGAACTGCAACGGTTTTCCCAATTTGTAATGAGGACATGGCTGTTAAAATCACCAGACCATCACCAATGTACTTTGAGCATGATTCTTAACTGAAAAAGAGGAGTACTTTGGTTATTAAAAACTGCATTTTGTTCTTGTGGAAATCATGTTTCTGAAAACTATAAATGAAGTCCGGTGCAAGGTGAAATGCAAGTTAAGGAAGAAGGAAAAAACAAGGGCAAGTTGAGAGCAGTGAGAACGAGAAGTAGGAGTAAGGTGAGTCCAACAATTAAAGTTTGTCCCTTATTGTTCAAGTTTATGGGTTGTTCTCTCCACCCCAAACTCTACAATGGCCAGTTTCAGAAACAGATTTTGCATGAAAGTGATGTATGAAGATGCTTGAATCGATGAAGGTTTTGTGCTAGACTGCTAGGGACATGATATGTCACACGAAACCACACGAAACACCATGTGATACTTAATGCTATCTTAATCTTCGTAGGACCACATTGTGGACCATGATGTCAACTGGATCAATGTCATGTACAAGCCATCAGGGCTGGCACTGTCGGCGGTGCCCGGTATTAGTTGCCTTCAAGGAGAAATACTCTGCAATTCTGAAGTTAGCTAGGATGGGGCAGAGTGGGTGAGGGCGGGTCCATCCCGTTGAAAATTTTGTATCCCTGCTGTCAGTACCCAGTCATGTGGGAAATTTGTCAATTTCCATTCAAAAAATGTTCAATGTTTATCATTATCAGATAAATTTATGAAAATAGAAACAAACTATAAAATCTTAACAAAAAAGAAACCTCTTGTGCACTTTCATTTCTCATCCAACTATTTTTATTTTGTAGTCTGTACAGCAAAATATGAAATTTAAATCTTAAACACAGTACTCTAATTATGGAAAATAGCGAATTTATTCATACAATCGAGCAGGAAGGGAGGGGTTAAGACGTGGAAGGAGTTCAAGAGGAGTGGCTTTGAGATTGGTAAAGGCCGTAGATCTCCGCAGGCTTTTGGCACAGAGAGTGCAGAAAGCAGTGTATAAAATTGTATTCTTGAGAATCGCTGAAGCTGAAGATCGGAGTCTTGAACTTGCCTTTTCCTACCGACCCAACCCAAGTGTCCAGTTCTGGTTGGGTCTTCTTCAAGAGTCGAGACATTGCCGTTGAGTATTAAGGAGAGCCCATGTTGATGTGACTGTGGTTGTATCTGATCCGCCTAGTATATTCATCTAACAACCTTGGGCCTGGACCGTTCATACAAAGAGGAAAATATTTTCAAAAAGAGCGCGGGGGAAGTTTGATAGCTGTTCTGATATTTTATTTGTTTGTAAATTTTTTAAGTAATTAATTATTATATTTAAAAATATTAATTTATAAATTAATTTTAATACTTTAAGTAATATATATTAATTATTTTTAATAATCAACCTAAATAAGGGTCAGTGTTTTTAAAAATCAGACAATATTAATAAATTTATGTAGTCATAATCACACCTGGGTCGGCTCCTAAGAAACTTTCGACAAATTAATCCTGTGATTCTTCGTAGCTAAGCCACCTGCCGTACTAATGTACTCTACTAGTTACCAGTAATTTTTTATGGTCTTCTATTTAATAAAATCCTAACAATACGCACTTGG